TCTTCCGCTTTCGTCCCGCTTTGGGTGAGTTCCTCTTACGTTGTTATGTCGTGTAACGGTGGAAGTGTGTTCAGTGGTTTGCTTTCGAAGCACCATTGGGAATGATATATTTTGATTCTTGCAGGTGATGAACTGATTGGTTGAAGAAATCGAGCGACGTCTCCGTTGCCATTTGCGCGTCACATACGTACTGGAGAGAGAAGAAAAGCCTTCCCATGCTGACCTATTGTGCGGAGCGGGGCGATAAGCTTCCACCCTACCTCCTGAATATTGCGATTAGGCCAGTCCCTGGAACCTTTCTTTCATTGACATGAACTCAATAACAATCGAGATTTAAGCATCCCGCCCTATCCTACTCCCCCCCCCCCTTTTAAAAATGTTGCTATCTGTTCCAGTCCCTTGCAATATTCTGTTTCTGTTCCGAATGGGTTCTGTGACTTAGGATGGTACATTTTGCTTTTAATTTCCACAGGTCTGCATGGCATGGAGGTGGTCCGTATAATGCGAAGAGTCCCAGGGAGCGTGGAGAGGCGTCATCAATATTGTCTGGAGTCCATTGATGAATGAGGAGCTGTCGAGGACCAGCGTAAAGAAGCACAAGATCACCATAGGATGCTGGAATCTGGATTCCCAAATTGGAAAGACGTAATCCAAGTCGCCTCATCCCCCTCTCCGTCCATCTACAGTAAATGACTGTAATATGAATTTAAGAGCGTTTGTTCGCACTCTTGCAGCCTCTTGTTCATTACGCGCAAAGTACTATATTGGCAACTAGACCACACCTGCGTCCCGCGGGATCCCGCGGTAACAACGTTTCAACTGACATCAATAAGGTCTAATTCTTAATTAAGAGTAAGAAAAAATAAAATATTTGAGGCATAACGTTCGAATTTTCAAATGCCATACTTTCGGTGAATAATAAGGGATGCCTCACGTCATCAGGGAACCCTCAACTGAATGCTTGCAAATTCTCAGTCAAGGTCTTGTAGCAAGATGGTCACGTAGTTGAAGTTGGAACACCCAGGCATTGGATGAAAGGGATAATTTTCAGCAAGGCACGGGATGCGGATAACATCTATTGGACCAATCTGACACGCGGATGGTGCAGGCAGTTTTCGGTGGGCAATAAATTGTCTTGTTTGGTGCAGGCGAATACGTCATCAGTGGGTCGTTTTCTCCGTCCGCTTACAGTGGCTGGCAGAACGTAGTGACCTGTGGATGAGTGGACTACCCGCAGAATGCTGTAAGATACATACAGTATTTTCATATGATACAAATGTTTCATCCGAAAGAGTTGAGGTATGAGTGTATAATATTAATGTGACGATATAATGGAAACGTTCTATGGTGGACATTCTGGAGCAGGGATGTTCCCTCGCCCAGGCCATTGCGTCTGCCAGCTATGCTATGTCCTTCCCTGGCATTGTCAGGTTTTTTTTTACGCCCTCCTGGTCTAGTCTTCGTTGTCCTGGTTGTGCCCTTCATCGCGCTGGCACGGTTAGTAGACCTCATTTTTATATCCTCCAGTTCCGTCAAAGCCCAAAAAGTGAGAAAGTCAACCAATTTTGGGAAACTGTTGGCTCTGGAAAGGGTCGCGGCCTATGGCCACGATTATTTCAACTGCTCTATCATCCCCCCCCCAAATTAGGCTGACTTCATGCTAGTTCGGCCAGACAGAATGGTTGCGGCTCTCTTGATATACCTTCTTCCTGTTTCCTCTCGGCTTAGTTGGGGTTTAAAGCAGAAACGCAAAATCACCTGCGTGAAAAAGTTTAAGGGTTGAGTTTTTCTTTGGGGCATATTTGGGGACCGAAGGTAGGCTGCCGGGACTGGACGAAAAAAAGTATAATGGGATGGCCGAGACTTGAACCCATGTAGTTTTAGTTCGGTGCGTTCCCATTACACCACCGAATCCAGGACGTATACTTTCCACCCTATCACCACACATAACAGCTTAACGGGCAGACCTGCTCTCCGTTCAACGTGAATAATTTAAAAATTATTGTTTATTTTCTCGTCTTTCGCAGCTAAAATATGAACCAACGCAATCTATTTATCATGAGCTTGCGACTGATTTATCACAAGTACCATTTGAATGGTCGGAAGTCTTGAATAATGAGTAGTAATAAAAAAGCAATTAGCAAGGGCATCGCTGAGATCGAAGAGACTACCTAGTCCGATCCAAGGAAGAGCAATAAAAAGGCAGTATCGAGGAAATCAAGTAATTAATTAATCAATTGACACTATTTTTTGTGACCATGAGAATCAATGAGACCACTCTCACCTTCGCACGATTTCTCCTTCATGGTTAGGTGATTCGGTAAACTGCGTATTATATGTATGGATTCTCATATTGGGGAAAATATGAGAATTTAGCATCAGCCTCATCCTAGGGTACCTGTGGAAAATGCCCAATGCTTTTATTTTTTGACGTATTTTCTTCCCTTTTGAAGACAACGGCAACTAATAGATAATAGCCAATCTCCGATTTCTAATGAAAATTTGCCTTTCATATTGCCGATTTGCAAATTTAATTTCAAAAAGGATGGTGAGGATGAAAAGGAAGAGTTCTATTGAAACCCCAAGTTCATATCCCTAAACGTTTGGCCTGTAGAGTTGCATTATCGCACGGCCTAGCTAGATGCCAGGACCGCGCAAGCTATTTATTTCACATGCAGACCTCGGTTTTTTAAAACCGAGGTCCTCTGGTTTGAATCATTGCTTTTGAAGGAGGCGCACGGTATCCAGGGCAGGACGAGCGAGTGGATCAGTTGACGGAGTGTGGACAACGAGTACTGGCCAATGGTCATAGAAGTCGGGGTGGAAAGCGGTGTCTCTCAGGGCTCGGTCCTGGGATCACTTATGTTTCTCGTCTACATAAGCGATTTGGATGTAGGAGTAGGTGGTCAAGTAAATTTCCGACGACACCAAAATAAGTTTTTATAATAGGGGGAATGCAGATAGGACTAGAGCCGAGCGAGATTTAACGCAAGCAACGTTTAACAGGATTCTAGGATTCATTCGTCATTCAGTTGCAAGTAGGAACTCGGGCATTATTCTTTCGCTGTATTCGGTGCTTGTAAGTCCCCAGTTGCCATGTTGCATCTAGTTTTAGAGGCCTACAAATAAGGCCGAATAGTTGACCCTTGAGGGGGTATATTGGCAGGTCACGAAGGAGGTTAGGGGACGAGAAGTGTTTAGAAGCATCGGGACTGTACTCGCTCGAGAGGTTAAGAAGGGGCGATCTCTTTCAGGCTATTCAAAATAAGGAATTGCGTTACATCTAGCGTGCTTGGTTCTTCCATTTCATCAGCTCATCGAAGTCGCGTAAACGTCGTAAAAGTTTCGTTTCCGTTAAACTTAATTAAGTTGCATGCTACTTTGATAACTGGATCATCGTACGACAGAACGCATGACACAGTCGAACATCTTAATAAGTCTTAATAAGAAGCCGGCTAACTAAGAAAAACTTTTTTCCTGGCATGAAAAAATTGCACTCGAGCCTCAGTTTATGCGTTAATCAACAGCATCGCATATAACCGTCCCTAAGTAGTCCGGTTAGTTAAGAAGTACTAGTTGCTGTTAATGTCATGCTTACACTTCTGCAGAAAATTTGGCGCAAGTACAACTGCGTCTGCGAAAACCGAAAGTCCACTAAGAATGCACACTGCTGCCGCAGAGAAAGACGTGCGGACGAAGGCGACAAAAAAAAAGATTCAGAGTCGGAAAGAGTCGGAGCTTTCGTCACATGCCCCCTTACAAAACTCTACGAATCACTCGAAGAATGTTCAACGAGATGGTGCATTATCTGCAAAGGTCTGTTGCAGGCGTTCAAGACTGACCTGGCCGATTCCACTTGTGAAGTCATTAAAAGTCATGTCCACGTGCCACATTCATCATGAGTTTAAAGAATCCCTGAACACGATGAGTATTAACAGTTATGAAACTGGTTCAAGGCAACAATGAATTCTGAAAGTTTTTCCACTGGCTAATATTGACAGTCCAAACTTGGAGGGAAGTTCTCGGGCTGAGAGGAGGCTTCAGAAGGCCGCATCCAGAAACTTTCAGTGACTCTCGTATGCCATGGGAGTAGTTTTAGCACCTAATGGGGTTGGCAGGGGGCCAAAGCTGATAGATCCTGTTCCTAGACATTATTCAGATCTCTTTCATCTCAATTAATGCTAATGAATTCACACATTTACTCTGAAGCACTCCGTGCTTATCATTCCGCTCCCAGATATGATGAAAATGGTGTGGCGCGCGTGCAAGGTGTGAAGGGAAGGACTGATACAGACTCAAACTCGTGATTTTTTTTCCGGTAAGCAGTGCTTCCATGACAGGATCGTCATGAGCAGTTATCTGAGCAGGAAAATCATGGGCTTGTTTGTACATCTACGAAACTTATCAGTTCCGTTTCCTATTTGTCCGGAGGATTTTTATGGTTGTCACTGACTTTGCAACCATTACCATGCAACCATACGTCTTGTATTAACAGAAATGTATTTTTTCTTGCTTTCTAATGATAATCGGAACGTAAGTATACAGTATTGATTCCTGGTTGTGACTGCCGGGATGGAAATATTTTCCTTTTTTGAAGTCACCTTACTGCGGTTGATCGCTTGCCGGAGATCCTGGATATTTTCACCGCGGGTGTGGATGAGATCACAGATTTTGAGGACTCGAAGGCTGTTTGGTGTTGATTAAAACGTCTACAAGTTTATGTTTTTGAAGCAAAAGCGAAAATGACCAACATTGCTGAATGAGTTACGCTCTTGGTCTCTCTTCGTTATAGCAATCTGGGTGGCGGTATGACTCTCAGAAAATGGCATCTTCTAACGAAGGTATTCATACGATAGACGTTTGCTACTTTCAACTAGAAGAGCCAACTGAAAGTGAAATATCAATAACGGTCGATAAAGAGGGGGAGATAGCGATTCATCCCTAAGAACCTTTCTCTGATAAGGAGACCTGGATAACGTTAATCCATAGTTAATCCTTACTGAATGTTAGTTGCGGTACAGCCGATACCTAACACCAGTTATATATTATATTTTGTTCATCCTTTCGTACTGGAACGCTCAACAAACATCGCCTCTTGCGCCCCTCTTCCAGAAAACTTCTCAGGTAAGGCTTCAGCAGCGAACGACACGAAACATATATGTTGCCTGATGGTGCGTCGGTCATAATTTCACAGATAGGGAAATAATTAGAAACGTATCCAAAAGTGAATCCCATAAGACGTGACAACCAAATTGTTCCAATACGTGCGATATGAGGTGAGAGTTCATACCTGTAGATTTTCTCAGCCTGAATACCTTCTTAGGAAGAACGAACTCGGCCGACGAAGGCAAGTCCAGAACAGATTAGCATTTCAAGAAGTACTTGAAAGAGAAGAAAATCTTTTCACCCTCTTTCCTCTGCTTAAATAGAGAGACCTATCAGGACGTCTGGAGGAGCCAGAAATTTAATCTGACATAAGCATCAGGAAACAACCTTCAGAAACTTCGAGTTATAGGTGAATATTTGACTGCGGCATGTTGGTCATAGTATAGGATATGCTTAGAAAACAATAGGTTGCGTTACATTCTGAGCAAATATAGCCTCCGAAACATGTCATTCTTGGATTACCAAAGGTGATCCGTCTGGAGACGTCGAGTACGAGACCGAGAGTATGATTAGTGGGGTTCATGGAGATAGAGGGAGAATAGTGAACGAAATTAAGATACTGAGGGAAGTTGAAAATCGACCCCCCTGGAATTAAATCCCGGCCTATAATTATTGCAGAGGCCCTAAAGGAAGGCCTTGGAGCAACTTTTTGGCACTCTCAAGTTAAGCATATGACCGTGGCGGATGGTCAAAGGACACGATTCGCAGGGCTTTCTTTGAAAATGTGCCTCTCCCCAACCTTTAGTCACAGAAACGACAAATTTGGGCCGTTCTCCTCGCCACCGAACATATTAAATGATGAACCTAAAAATGTCTCTCTACTCCCCGAAAAGCCCGGGCGCCATTTGTGTAAATTCGCGTTTCGCCAATTCGCTGCTTCCCTCGCTCATTCTCTGTAGAAACACCGCACAGGAAAAAGCATGACCCAGTTTTTGGAGATCAATCTCATCCAACCTTGTGTCAAGGGGCACGATGATTTATTGTTTCGTTTTCCCAGGAAGTTCGAATATATTCCCAAAAAAAAACCATTTCTCCATAGTACCCCAGATTCGTGGTCATTTCTCGAAAAAGAGAGTAAATTACGAAATGTCAACAAACGAATCTGTGGGGAAGCTTCCCAAGAAACTTCAGAATAATTTTCGAGAGAATCTGTTCACCCTCCTCAGATCCTTCACGATTTCACTTAAGCCAAGTTTGAAAATCTCAAGGGTGACGGAATCATGAAGCTGTTTTTTTCGTTTTAATCAGAAGTGACCGAATCCGGTATAACTTCCATTAGAGGAAGACTTTCTTACGATTCCAATGAGGCAGAAATTATTTACTTGACAAAATGGATATGGACATGAGAAAAACAAAACAAACAAGATTTTTAATACTGCTTCTGCTGGAACATGATGCGATCGCACAGGCTGTTACTCTCTGGCGCTCCCTCCCTCTTTCGTGACCTATGCACAAGCTTGGCTCCCTCTCTTCACGTGCCTTCCTTCCCTGCTTCGTGCCATCTATTGCGGGAAGGAGGTGCCTGAATTAGCCGTATTGCAGACTTGCAGGCGTTGATGTTGGCCGGGCTGACCCAATGAAATACAATCTACTTCTTTGTACGCACTCTGGCACGTAGTTGAAAGCAAATTCCTTGTTTGACTCTTGACCTCGTGATCATTTCATTTCAATTTTTTCCCGCATCCGACAGATGTGGAAACGTGTTTTCTTTTTCACGAGTATCATCATCTCCGTGTGAAATTTTTATTTTGTAATATGGAGAGCGCCGAGATTGATTAAGTAATTGCTCGGAAGCTGTAAAGGGTGATAATACTTTTTTATTATTAATTATGAGGTAAAGAGACGAGCGGAGATATTTTGGCTTCTCTTGGCTGCGGGCGAGTACAACTTTGGATAATATACGACGGTCAGTCAACTGAAAACAGGACATGATTTTTTTTTTCCAAAACATCTTCGCAACCGTATTTTTTCATGTGCCGTTTTTTTGTCGGCATGTTCCCTAGGGGAACATTTTTACAGCATGAGATTCTTTCACACATGGCCTCCTAGGTGATGGTTTGCAACTAGGAAGAGATACGTTCTGTGATCCGTTTCCTTGTTGCCGAAGGCATTAATGGTAATGAAATTCATCAGAGACTCATTGCTGTGTGTGGTGATCACTGCATTGGAAGTAGCAACGTCTACGAGTGGGTGCAGAAGTTTCAAAGTGGAATAACAAATGTGAAGGATGCTCCTCTCCCGGGCCAAGCGCACTGCGTAGTGACGTCGGAGACCATAGGACGCGCCGAGGAACTTGTGAAACAGCATCGGCGAATGACACTAGATGAAATCGCTTCCAACCTGGGTATAATTCATGGGTCTACCCACCATATGGTTCACGAGATGCTGGGATTCAATAAAGTGCGTGCGAGATGGATCCCGCGTCTACTGACGGAAGAGATGAAGAGCCAGTGCGAAGCCAGAGCCGTTTCCCTGATGAGCCGTTTCGAAGCTGTAGGAGATGCTTTCTTTTCACGAATTGTGACAGGATATCAGACATGGGTCCACTGCCACACATTAGAGAGCAAACGAGCCAGTATGGAATGGAGGCACAAGACCTCTCCTCTCCCCAAGAAATGCAAGATCGTCGCATCTGCCGGAAAATTGATGTTGACCATTTTTTGGGACATTAATGGCGTTCTTGTGACTCACAACCGACCTCGCGGGGTTACCGTAACCAGGGACATGTACTCACAGCTGCTGCAAGATGAACTGAAGCCTGCAGTTTTGCAGTTTTGAAGTTTGCAGAACAAAACGTTTTGGTCTCCTCAATAAAGGAGTACTTCTTCTCCGGTGTCAGAGCTCTAGTAGGACGTTGGCAAAAATGCATTGATAAGCAGGGAGATTATATAGAAAAATGACGAAATCACCTTTTTCAAACATATACAATAAAAGGCTATTTTAAGCAATGTCCTGTTTTCAGTTGACTGATCCTCGTATTTTTTTATCATAAACGGATGTTGGCCTCGGAAGGAAACAACCGTCGGGAAAATGCATAACGCTATTTTTCTTTTAGACTTTTAGACCTTTTAGATTGCAGTGCCCCTCAAATTCCTTCCACTTGGGCCCTTTCACTCCCTCATCGACCTCCTACATCGTCGAAGCCGCTGGCCATGGAAACCCTCTGATAGTTCCAAACTGATCGTTTTGCTAGTGCGCTTGTGATGAATATCATCTCATTGCGTCTCTCGATCGGAGTAAGTGAACGCGCTATCATTTTAGCGTCGGATGATCTTCGTATGCAAAGATATGTCAATCTATAAATAATTTCCGTCGAAGGGGAAATCGATCTGAGACATTACTCCTTAAGTGATCGCATGATAGTTGTGCCTCTGGCAGGGATTTGCCTAATTCATGCATGGAGTTTTACATTGAATTATTATGTAACAAAATGCAAGTTTTATGTTCTGGTTCAAATGATTCCCCAAGTTACCAAAAAGCTTAACCCTCAATGGCCCCTCCATGGCAACGTCGGCAGATCGTTGGCATTGGAAGACACGCTTGGCCCATAAATGACTCCAGCTTAGCTAGGCATTTTTTGGCACTTCATTGGTGAAGGACATAGGCCCTTTCATGGATTTGAGCTGGATTCCCATTATCATCGGATTTTAGTATAAATTCATCCCTCAAATGATTCAGTCCCACTAACACCTTGTGATCCTCAAACGAGGTTCACCAGGTATTAGTGTTCCAATAGTGATTTTCATTCTTTCCTATGGTCTTCACACACCTCTTTGCATATAAACCCCTGAAGATATGCAAAAGCGGACACGCAAGCTCATTACTTCAGCGTCTTAATTCAAGTAATCATTGAAACTGTGTTCAATTTATGAGGATTTGTTTGGTTCCATTCATATCTACATTTGGGTACTAGGAATTAAATTAAGTCCATTTTACAAACTCTTCCCAAGGCTACACCAGAGGAAAATACGTGATTCTGCAAAAGCAGCCCAAGCCAATTCACATTCCCGCTTTGATGAGGGAAGTTTGTGCATAGAAATGGCATTGGTCTAAGAATTTGCAAGTGATGCCTAGGGCTCTCTAAATAACGATGTCTAGGGAAAATTGTCCCACCAGTTTCCCTGTTGAAATGCAATGTATTACACATTTGCATCCACTAGCGTACAGGCAGGCATGAAAACGTAATATTCACATGGCTTATGATCTGGAAAGACAAAGGCCAAGAGTCCTCGCGCCCTAGGTTAAAGCAGCAAGATATTCGGTCAGATAGGCTGAAAAGTTCCTGGATGTGAAAGAGTCAAGATTGTTGTTAGCGTGAGCGTCTGTCCGAGAGGTACCTATTCACTGGGTGCATTAGGTTGGAGACATCTGGCGGCAGGTAGCATAAAAATGAGCTGGGGGGAGTCGAGCGCGCAAGGTTCAATGCGTTTCTTATAGAAACATGCAGATAGAAACTGTTATACTATGAAAATGCCACATTGTTTTTGCCAGTGGGATTCCTAAGGCAAAGAATGATTATATAGTAAGTAATCTATGGGGTGAAGTTTCTATTTGGAGCATCCAGACAGCCTGAAAGGCCTGTTATGTTTTTTTTTCGTTTAGGCCTTCGCTTTCCATGAGCCTATGAAAATCAAATTTGGCATTTGCAGTCACAGTATAAATAGCCAACATTAACCCTTGACCTGCCACATTTTATCATGAGGTCAGGGCCGGATTAAGGGGGGGGGGGCAAAGGGGGCTGTTGCCCCGGGTCCCACTCTTCCAGGGGGCCCCCGAAGGAAATTAAAAAGTTAAGTGTTTGCGTAAAGTGGGATTTGTTGGGGGGGGGGGGGGGGTAGCCCCAATTGCCCTGAGCCTCGCAACCTCTTAAATCGGCCCTGCATGAGGTGCTAATCCAAAAATGATTTGTCATGGGTTATGATATAAGCCCATGAAGCACAACCGAATGGGTAAAAAAGCTAGCAGCACTCAATAGAATACAGAGGCAATAGGAGTCAACACTTCATCGAGTTTAAAACAGTTTCTCGTTGTAGTGAATTATATAAGAAACTGGAATATATTAATATTATCCCACTCATATCATGCACATGTACCTCAGTGAGGCCCATGATTCATGAATCCTTGCATTGGTGAGTTTTGACTTTGAGGAAAACCTGCATCTCCTCTGAAGGTGAAGTTTGATTAAAAATTGAACAACGTTCCTTGCACACCCGTGAATTCTGTCGTTTTTATAACATGTTTTACTTCGGCTAGTAGCTCTATCATCATTATCGTAGCTCTCAAATTTTGAGAAGAAATTGGGAGTAGCCCCACGTGAAGGATTGTACAATTTTGTGAAGACATGACTTTGTTCCATTCTCCTCCTTATGTGCGACTTCCCCCAGCCATGGGCGGCGCCATATTTAAAACGCACCATCTAGTGTTAGTGCACCCAGCGAATAGGCTTGCCAAGTCAGTTCCGTTAGGGCACATATCGCCATTGTTGAACTTTATCTATAGTACGGAATGCAACAACTACGTGGGGAGGTCGGAAAGTTCGCGGATTTTCACATTTTTCGGCGCCATTGAGTGATGAGTGATTGTGGCCCATTCAATTGATATCTCTTGAACCCTTTCAACATTTTTTTAGAATTTTTAATACCGTACAGAAAGATGGAGACCCGTCAGAAGCGAGACGGTGCTGTGAATGTTCGCGAGACTGTGAAATTTTCGGCGGGACAGAAAAGGAGTGATCCTCCTCTACCATTTTCGGAGCGGGTTTGAAACCGCAACAGGCGTTCGAAGAGACGACGAAGAACATCGGGGATGATGCTCCGGGCAGGACCATGGTCTTCGAGCGGTTTCGACGATTCGAAGCTGGTCATTTCGAAGTCATCGATGATCCACGAAGCGGGCGTCCAAGGACTTCGACAGACGACGGAATGGTTGCTGCCGTGGCGAAATTCCTGGACGAAGAACCCTCTGCGACCACGAAACGACTTGCCGACGTCTTTCAAGTCTCGAAAACGTCGATTTCGTCCATTCTTCATGACCAACTTGACTACTCAAAAGAAATCTGCTCGTTGGGTTCCACGTCTTCTGAAACCGGAGGAGAAGGAGGCCAGGGTGAACTTCTGCAAGAAGTTCCTGGAGGATTTTGAAGACGGAAATTCGCCAAACTTCAGCAAGATAATCACTGGAGATGAAGCCTGGTTTTACGTGTAAAACCAGGTTTTTGGAAGTTATAGTAGTACTACTGTAGAACACACCCGGGTCCCGTGGGTTCCGCTCGAGGATAACAAAATGTATGGTGACTTTTTGTTAGCCTCGAGGTACCCTCGTTGACTCTGGGTTTATTTTTAATTAGCAATAAAAATAAAATATAAAATAAGTTAAGGGATAACGTTCAAATTCACAAAGTTCTACGTTTTGGATCCATTGCAGATGTGTTACGTCATTAGGGAACTCTAAACTGGATATATATGCACATTGTTAGCGAGTTCCGCCTTCAAGCGAAACATGTAGCTGATCGGGCGGCAACTCGGTTGGCAACAGGTTTATTATTGGCTGCAGGCGAATACGTTATCAGAGGTTATACGTTATCCAGCCACATATAGATACTGGAGGAACGTAATGACTCATGAGAGCACATAAGAGGCCAGCACGAATGCGACGTCATGGGATAGGACGAAACATCAGCAGAGCCGCTAATAAGAGGGACGAACACAGAGACCCCGAGTTTTGAAGCCTTGTGGTCTAGGCTGACTTTGGGCCAAACCGACCGGTCCACGGTTGGGGTCGGCAAAGTTCGCTGCTCAATGGAATTTCCGGTTGGGTACGACCACGATTAAAAATCGGCCAATCAAGTCGACTTCGAAAGAGTCGAACCTGTGCATGCCTCCGACGTGCAAACATACGGGGGATTTCCGCTATAATAATAAGCATGGTGTATAAGTTACTCCCTGTCTCGAAATGCTTGTAACTCTTTTTTTTAAACGAAATTTAATGAAGCACACTTTGAATTTTGGACCAGTTAGTGAGGTTTTAATTCGTCTAATCTTCACACTTGCGCATATGCCTCTGCATTGTCAACGCATTTTCTTAAGCGAACAGGTACGTTCCCACAGATGATTGAAACAAGTGTCGAGGTACGTTATGAAGAGCATTGTTGGTTCTTTTTTCAAGTTCGTTAGGAATTCATTCAGTTCACTAAGAACGAGTGCCTGCCCGAACTGATTCACCAGAATTATTGTAAACATTGTGTTAAAATTTTCAATGTTTAGAGGTGTTAGCGAGGTCGTCATGACTTGGTCTTGTTCGTCACTGAACCGGTTCTCATTTACTACGGATTACATTTATTTATTGAATTAGCATCCAGTCCAGCATGAGCACCATGTTCAACCCTCCGCTATCGCTAAACTTTAATTATTGATCCCCAAACTTCATAACAGGCAATTATTTTGGCTCTTTGTTAAACTGTTACTGTCAGCCATTCTTTAACCTGAAACAAAAACACAAACGAACATAAAGCCCCAGTGCCTGGTGCATAATCCACAGTTTGATTTATTAATTTTCATTTTAAAAATAGTTACAAGCAATTCAAAGTAGGGAGTTACTTATCATACGCGTACACCCTGTAGATAGATCACACCTGCGTCCCACGGGATCCGACACCTCACAAATTCTGGTCGGGATGACTTCCGAAGTGGATTGCCCGCAAAATGGTGCAAGAGAAATATCTCATGAAAATACTGCATGAATTGGTAACAGTGATGCATGTTTCAGCTAAGAGAGTCGAGGTATGAGTATGTCATATTAATGTGTTGATACAAATGTTTCTTTTTCCAGTGCAACCCTTGTATTTCCTTCTTTCTCCAATGCCCATCTTTTCCCGAGCAGAAATGCTTTGCCAGCATTACATCCCTTAAACAGTCCATTTCGAGCGAAATTATGAGTTCTGTTTTCAATTTTGACGCCTTGATCCTATCTTTCGAAGCCCTAAAATCCAATGCAATCCTGTTTTGGAGGTGTATAGGAGTGAGTGGGCCACCATGCGTCACAGGATACCACGTGTCTGGCTGTTTATAGCTCTCCCAGCTCTGTGTCTCTTCATGGCGTATGCTGCTGAGGTGCAGGGAAAGTGCATGTGAAAAAAGGGTATTCCCCACTCAAAGAGCAATTTGTGTGGATACGAAAAAGCGTATTCTAGAGAAATGTAGAATACGCTTTTTCGTTTTTGTGGACAGTGAAATCTCGATATTTGCTATTTATTTATTTTAATGAAAAGCCTTGATTTTTTAAGGAATTTAATTCGGAAGATCAGTAGTTCAATGCTTGCACGTATGAGCTACAGTCTCAACTTACTTTGGTTTTAATCCTATACATTAAAAGCGAAATGAAGCTGCATGCGTGCCAATGAAACCTTTGACTGAACCTAGCAGTCAAGTCGTCAAAAACCACTTTTGCATTCAGACGCCTACAGGGTTCGATCCCCGTTGAAGACGAAATTTATTTTTTTTTTTAAATAAGGCACTAAAGAGATGAGAACGACAGCGTAGAGGGTTTGGAAATTTACTCCGGGCCTGCAATATAAGGACCATTTCTTTATTCTGGTAGATGCACGAGCCTCAAAGAAATTGGGAAACAATTAGAGAGCATCGTCGGAAGCTCCGAGATGAATTTAACCTGGATGTGGATGAGTTGCTTCGAAGTTTGAGCGAGAAGAAAGTCTTCACACATAATGAGGAGAGGATCATTCGTCGAGTAGATGATCTATCGGAGCGATTTGATAAGCTCTTCGACATCCTTCTCGTCAAGCACGTGGAAATGATTCGCCTCTTCTACGAGGCCCTCTCTGCCATGGGGAGGAATGACATCAAGGAATTTTTACAAGGTATTGGAGATTTTTCACCCTTGAAATTTCAGATTTACGTTACATATAGAGGTTTGGTAGGGCATTGAGGGAAACAACGTTTAATATTGTCATTGCTTTTGTCTACAATGGTACGAAAGCCCGTTGTGCTACCATACATACTAGTGCTCAAAATTACCGTAAAACAACTCATGCCGCCGTAGCAAAGTTGGATAGAATAAACCATGATCTTCACTGCTAATTGCGAGGCCCCTGTCCAGGCCCTGTACAGGAAGTGGCAACCCCTTTTGGCTGTGGATCTCAGATAGTGTTTGCAATGTAGTTAAAGTTTTTTTTGGCAGTATTTGTGGGCCTTGGGCCGTAATTACTATAATTCAATGGGATCATGAAAAGGCAAGGATTACAGATTTGGCTTCACGAAACTACGGCCATGGAGCCTCATGAAATTGCATCATCTTCATGACAAAAGGACTCCGTAAGTGACAGTGACAGAATTGGGGGCGCACAAAGCAGCTCAGAAGAAGACAAAAAAGTCCGCCCAATAGAAAATATGACAATTACATAAAATTAGGCTTTAAAAAAATTGGCAACGACGAGGCGCCTCTTCCACTGTGTTGTTTGTTATGAAACTCTTAGCAATGAAGCAATGAAACCAACCAAACTGAAGCGTCATCGGGAAACTAATAATGTGTTTCCGAAGGACAAGATGGTCGAATTCTTCGAAAGACGACGAAATGAAATGAAGATGGAACAGAATCATATGTTTGCTGCAGCTAACATCAGTGCTACTTTTTACGTGCCTCTTTCTTGATCTCTCACAGAATCGCAAAATGCAAGAGACCTTTCATCGGCGAAGAACTCGTAAAACTGGCTATCATTGACGCGTGAAGCGCCTCTGCGAGGAAGCGTCTAGGAAAGTAAGCAACATCCCCCTGTCTAATGATGCTGTGGCTCACCGCATTGACAGCATCTCGAACGACATTGAAAATAAACTGCTGGAAAGACCCTGTCAATAAGTCCAGTTGAACGAATCCAGACATTCCCAATGCAGCATTTTTCATAACCTTCGTGCGTTATGTGCACAGGACTGACATGCTTGAAGATGTCATGATGCTTTCAATCATGCCGAGTCGAACGACAGGCGCAAAGATCTATCATCTCCTCAACAACTATGTCATGGAAAACAATTTGGACTGGAAATGTGTTGTCGGCGTCTGCACCGATGGAGCTGTCTCCATGACAAGTGCTAAGTCTGGTGTGACAGTGAGGATCCAATAAGTATCTGCTGATGATGTGCAAGTGACACATTGTGTCATCCACCCAGTAAATGTTACACAGTAAAGAATTATACTCGGAACTCAAGACAGTGTTAACTGGAGATTGTGAACCTTATTAAGTCTCATCCTCTGAACTCGTGCCTGTTTCAGACAATTTGTGACGAGCTTGGCGCTTGACATTCAAATCTGCTGCATTCGGAAGTCCGATGGTTGTCACGCGTTAAAGTACAGGCTCGCGATTACGAACTCCGTGACGAAATTAAGATTTTCCTGCGACAGAAAAAATATTTGAATTCGGACTTACTTGGCGATCACGAGTGGCTAGCCAAGCTAGGATACTTGGCAGACAAATTTGGTTCATTAAATGAGCTGAACTTGCAGCTGTAGGTTACTAGGGCTTCCTTGTTCAGGATAGCAGCTGAAATTGAGATCTTCTTTCGATACGTTCGCATGTTTCCATGACCTTTCAAGCAAAATAAAATTCAGGAATGAGCGTTTCGTATCAGTCAGAACACATGAGAAAGCGTCCAGAAATTCCAAGATTATTTTCCACCTCAAGACGATCCATGAACGGGCTAAATGTGGGTGGTTGACACGTTTACCTACTATGGGAATCCAGAAAACAAGCTGTCTGCACTGGAGGACATTGATCTCATCAGCAATCGAGCCCTGAAAGAAGAAATGTCCGATCTAACACTACCAACGTTTTCGTTGAAGATGAGCAAAGAATGTGAAAAATTAAGTGAGAAAGCTATCAAGCGACTTTTGCCCTTCCCGTGAACGTATCTCTGTGATTCAGCCTTTTCCGTCATGGAGAGTACGAAGACTAAGACTAGAAACCGACTTGATGCAACCGCAACCCTTCGTGTGGCCATATCCTACATCCCAGCCAAGATTCAGTATGTTAATGAGCGACGTCCAGGCCCAATTTTCTCACTAAAAATAAGAAAAAATTAAATTGCTTTTAAGTCTGTAGAGGGACTTGGATCACTTTGCGGTTGTTAAGGTGGGCAGTGGAATCAATAAGATAGAGAACCTCTGGTTTAAAAGATACTGAGTCCTAAAGTTCGCCCACAAGGGGAAAAGTCAAATGGCTGTCTTTGGCCTTAGTTGAGCCAGGAAAAAAATGTTTGCCGACCTCAAATGAAAGCTGAGCCTAAGCCTAGATATCACAGATTTTCTCTCTCCTTAGTTAAACTTTTTTCTTTACAAATACGATGCGGATATTCTTAATTTTTATTCAAGTGGGAATCATGATAACACAATGAGCTCCTATTATGTTAAAAAATCATAGATTCTAAATTGAAAATAGATAAATTTGAACTGCTTACTTTGAAATGACGGGTAGGTTAATTTGAAAACTGCAATTTTTAAATATTTTATTCACCGATTTCATTTAATGTTTCAAACAAGACAAGAATAGGAAACGTGTCAAATGAAAGTTCCCTCTAGGGCACTTCTGGGGATGTTATTTATTCTGTTACTCCAAATGCTGTTTTCGTCGTAATATTTTGCGCTTCAAAATTAATCATTCAGCCAAATTTACCAAATTTTTCCAAACTTTCTAAGCACGATGATTGTGGTGACAACCAGGCATACTACGACAGAGACCAGTGAACAGCTGTAGTTCATTTATACCACATTGTTTCAAGCATGAGAGAATTATAGTCTGAAATTTTTGCAATTCCTGAAATTCCTTTTCCTTTTTACAGGGTCGACGCCTGAGTAAAAGTTCAGAGTCATAGAGAAAATCTGGGAATTCTGCAACGACTTTGGATCCCAACTATTTGTTCCCTCGTTTCATTGGAAGTGACGGCATCTGTGTGTAAAGGACCAAGTTGTATTGTACCTTCAATGAAACCTGATGAATGAAAAGACAAATCGGATGACGGGAAGCACGGACGGATTTCTCTCATTAGAATGTCGAGAGTTGAATTTTGTCGTGATCATACTTCATTAGGAGCATTCAGCTTATTCCGCACCCCTTCTGCTGAAGCCACAACACTATTATGGGAATTCCGCAACCCTTACTTCTTCCATATCCCCTCACCTTTTAAGGCCAAAACTATTAGTCATTATAATCCCTTACACTTTGGAGATGGTAGATAGTAGTTCTTACCTTCTTCAGAATTACCAGGAGATCAGGTATGAAGTACAAAACATCTTAATCAAACAAAGTGAGGAAAGAACATATTCGGGATTCCCCATGACAAGAAAAGGGCGTCTTTTCTCTTTGCTTTTTTCTCGGTTATGGCAAGTGTGGGCCTGAAGGTTTTTTAGAAGGGGAAGAACCTCTAAAATATTCAGGAAATTTTCTTAGTTGAATTGTTTTATTTCAAGACTGAAAATATCATACTCTCGATTTCCAATGTTGAAAAATAATTCCACAACACTCCTCTATTATCATGTTTTGTTATTCGTGGCACTACATACATTTTGCAGCCTCACACAATCCCATCCTACCAGACTTTGCGGCGTTAATTGCCGCATCTTGATCTTCCTGCAAATAATTATTGCTTGTCCTAACCTTCTTTATGATTGTTAATGGTTATTTCCTTCGTCATCTGGCCCTTGCTGCGTTTTTTAAATTACGTTGTTGGTTTCCCATTTCTATGCAAATGGCAATATCCCAACTTATTATAAGTAACTTTGAATTGCAAGTCGTATGCAACCTACATAAGCACGGCACAAGCCTGAACGATAAGTGCGAAATTAAGAACCTTGTCGTGAAGAGAATACATGAAATAATCCAACAAGACGTTATGGAATTGACCGATGGGTCATTTTCCGATCAGGCAATTCCCCAACGTCTGCACCGTTGATACTTAAGGAGTATGCATCTCAATCACCACTTACTCATTCCTAACACCATCAAATAATTTAATAGAGGTGCAATCTACATTGCCATTTGTCCTAATATATATTTATAGATAATGTTCGACTCAATCGGACTCTCGCTATAGAGCACGGTATTCAGCGAGGAGGAACACCTTGCTTCCGTTGTACACGCGTCATTAATTACCCAGTTGAGATGAAAGAGCTGTGATGGCAGTGAATCACAGTACATATGGCGCTATCCATTAACCTAGATGGGTACTTGTTGAGGTTCTTACAGGAAAATGATACGTTACGAAATTACCCTCCAGTTTCAGTAACGTTGCGGAATTCCCAGAGGTGCCCTACAAATACTCTATGAAGTTGACAGTAAAATTTTATCTTCGGGTTCAGCATATAGACTTGCATGTGCTATATATTTACCCTTGTCGAGAAAGACACTCCAGCAACTAAGACTTTGCTACATAAATGCAGCCCCAACTTTGGAATTCGATTGTGTTACAGATTCAAGTTACTGGGAGATAGTGTCATTCTATGCCACTTGACGAGTGCAAATCAATATCGTCAGGTGTATTCGACTAATAGTGGAAAATCGTTAGGAAGACGACAGTCCAATTATATTCCATGGTTTAGGATACAGAATAATGCAGAGTTCAAATCACCTCTAGATTTGGACATTTTACAATAGGCTGAACCTCGGAAACCGATTCATGATGGTTGGTCTACTCTTCTCAAGAGTCAAGTTCAACCATCGAACCCTTTTCAAGTTCAATTAAGGCCTAAGATAGCCGTTTGACCGTTGGGGTGACTTTTCCCTTGGAGGGCTACTTTGGGGTTCCATATCTTCTAAACCCTTTGGGGCTAGATCTCTGAAATTTGTAACGCCATCATATATGAGAAAGGTGATCATGCATGTAGTTCTGCCTCGAAATCCCAATCGCACACGCAATCATGATTGTTATTACTTCAGCCGGAATGCCTCATAGTTCGTACATGGTAGGGATCTTCTGATTCAAAAATCTATGGACGGAATGCAAAAAAAAATTACTTCTTTGTAATTTTGCATGTCAATAGCAGAGTCATTGGCCTTTTCATAGTATTTTTTTAAAAAGATTTTTTCTTTGGGGGGTTCATGCTAAGTTCAAAGGTCAACTTTTTGCGTGTCCATATATAACATTGCGTGGTTTTGATTCAAGCGATTTTTTAAATGCACATTTTGAATTTTTCTCACAGTTTCTTTTGATTCGACACCTTTAGTCAAGGCTCTTGCACGGATAGTTCTAGAGTTACTTGGATATCAACATTGTAGGTTAAAAGGTGACTCTAAATTTTGACCACCCTGTAGCGTCTGACCTATTGACCTGAAATGTTACATTTTCGAGTTTTAGGACGTAATGACCTTCCATTAAAAAAAACTTCCATCAAAATTTGAAATGGTGTGGTTTGCGATTTTTTTGCGGCGTTTTGTCATGGAATGACCCCACTTAGAGAAAAATTATCAGCCTGAGAGGAGGCATCAGATGACCTCATCCGAAATCTTTCAGAGTGACCTTCGTATCAGTAATGCCGCATTCATGCCACAGGTGCACGACACATAATGGAAATTCTCACGGCATGCAATTTGATTTTAAAAATAGAATTGAATAAGCCTCCCCGCTTCCATCTTCCTTCCAGTTCCCGGTGGAGCTGGTTCTGGTATTTCAGCCATGGTTGACGCTGGGGATCGCTGGCCTGACCACCGACGGCTTCCCCTTATTGCTTTTCGAATTGGATTTCTCGTGGGTCTTAAAAGGAAAGAGGGCATTAAATTCCTCCATTACTGCTTCTTTGCATGCATTCTTGCTCTTCTNGTTGACGCTGGGGATCGCTGGCCTGACCACCGACGGCTTCCCCTTATTGCTTTTCGAATTGGATTTCTCGTGGGTCTTAAAAGGAAAGAGGGCATTAAATTCCTCCATTACTGCTTCTTTGCATGCATTCTTGCTCTTCTCGATGTTTTCTTCGGAAGCCTTCGGGGAGATCTCACATACTTTCTAGAAGGCCTTCGTGGAGACCATTCAGGCCTTCGTGATAGCCTTGGAGACCTTCTTCAATGCGTTTCTAGGCAANTCCATTACTGCTTCTTTGCATGCATTCTTGCTCTTCTCGATGTTTTCTTCGGAAGCCTTCGGGGAGATCTCACATACTTTCTAGAAGGCCTTCGTGGAGACCATTCAGGCCTTCGTGATAGCCTTGGAGACCTTCTTCAATGCGTTTCTAGGCAAACCCCAGGATGCTTATTTGGATCAATCATCGGATATTTTTTTGGAAGAAACTTTGGATATTTCATAGACCATGAACCTTTTTTGAACCTTCTTTCTGAACTTCGCATTTTCCGTGGTGTCCAATGAAGGTAAAAGAAGAGCTCGACAATGTGCCCTCTTTTGAAGAATAACAATAATGTGTGCAAGTGATATGTAATAAAAATTGAATTTCCATTGTATATGACTTGTTAATTTAATTAAATTTCGACTCACATAATACTCCAAACAGTATTATGTGAGTCGAAAAACAGGGCTTGAAAGTTACCAGCTTTGCAATTGGAATCTCACTTCTGTTCTTTCAATGCAGTTCGCCTTTTCTCTACAAAATTGAAGGCAACGACTTGGGCAAGCCCTGTCATGTAACAGACCAATCATTTTTTTTTAAATTTAAATACATATTCGGAACAGGAGGATGATGTTACAGGTAATGTCGGATATGGGAAGGAGCACGACGAAGAGCACTGCCATATGTGGCATTGCACTGTTTCAGCCGGCAACCCTTTCTTTCCTGCCATGTGCTGCTTTACATTATCATGAGAATAATGGATCCGCCAGCTACAACGGCTGGGGTGGAACTTAAAACTCCAACTGCTCACATGACTTCCCAAGCGAAGCTGAGCGATGCGCAGGCGCCTAAAGATATATATCGAGGAGGACTGGGATTTGCTAGTGACTATCGGGCTGTTAACAAATTTCAAACTTTATAAAAGGTTGGCTGGTCTTGGCAGGGCATGCTTTCGCATTCAGTATGGCTGCTCAAATGATCCCGCGGTACCTCCTCATTCACTATGCCTATGCGCATCGCAATCCTGCTTTAAACACTATGAATCACTTAGCATGTGAATCGCGGCATTTTGCTAACCTATTCTCAATCGCTCTTTTCTGCCCTTAGCCAAAACTGAAGTGTTAGACCCATATTCATAGTAAAAATAAGTCTTGAAACGAAGAGCAGGGCAGACCGAGAAATTAAAGAAATTCTTCTCACATGGAGAGCCAGGGGGCAGAGGGCGGGAGTGTGGCGACCGCCAACCCATGGCCAAGTGCGCATTCAAAGCCTTTAAATATTAGGTTGTTTCACATGAAATGTCCGATTTTTCTCTATACAGGCAGTCCTCGACTTACGACGCTCCGACTTAGGACACTTTGACTTAGGACGCTCTAAGCCTAGGGCTGAAGGAGTCATTGACATGTAGGCCTGAGGCCTCCCCCGTATTACCGTCATGTGTCGAGGACTCCCTGTACAATATGATGTCTTCAAAAAAATTGAGACTACTTTTTTTGTATTTCAAATTGGGGCACCACGCAGCTGTAGCCACGAGTAACATCGACTTGGCGTTCGGGAAAGGGACTGCTAACCGGCGGACTATTCGGCGGTGGTTCGGAAAATTTCTGATCTGGAGACACGAATCTCGAAAATGACCCCCGAGGAAGGCCTGAATCTGTTGTGAATGAAGAACATTTAAGAGCCATCGTGGAAGCTAACCCACAAACGACAGTTCGGGCTCTTGCAATAGACCTCGGTGTTTCTATTGCAACTGTTTCTCGACACCTGGCTGCAATAGTAAAGGTGAAACAATTGGATAAATGGGTGCCGCACGAATTGACGGACGGCCAGAAACTGCGACGCCTGGAGGTGTGTTCATCGCTGATAGTCAGGAACAACAAAGAGCCATTCTTGGAGCGAATCATTACCTGCGACGAGAAATGGATCCTGTACGATAACCGGAAAAGAAGTGGACGATGGTTGAATGCTGGTGAAGCTCCAAGACATGCACCAAAACCGCCATTGCACCCAAAATAGGTCATGGTGACAGTATGGTGGTCTGCAAAGGGAATCATTACACTATTCTTTTTTTTGCAACC